ATATATGTATGTGTGTGTGTGTGTGTGTGTGTGAGTGTGTGTGTACACTTGTATCAGCCTACAGAATCTATTTAGCTTTACCACATATAAAAGAATCCGTCATCCAGCACAAAAAACCCCACAACTTCAGATGAATCAAAGAACCTCAATGTGGAATAGGACATGCTAAAGCCACTAGACAAAAAATATAGGCACAGATTCCAAAATACAGGTATAGGAGAAGGCATTCTGCATAGGATTCTATTTGTTCAGGAATTAAGGCCAACAACTGACAAGTGGTAACCTCATGAAATTACAAAGCTTCTGAACCTCTTAGAAGAGAAAGTGGGAGGTACCCTTGAATGAATTGGTGCAGGAGACTGCTTCCTGAACATAACACCAGTAGCACAGACACTGAGGTCAACAATTAACACATGGGACCTCCTGAAACTGAGAAGCTTCTGTAAGGCAAAGGACACAGTCAACAAGAGAAAAAGGCAGTCCACAGAATGGGAAAAGATATGCACTAACCCCACATCTGACAGAGGGCTGATCTCCAAAATTTACAAAGAACTCAAGGAATAAGTCTACAAAACACCAAAGGATACAATTAAAAAGTGGGCTACAGAACTAAATAGAGAATTCTCAATAGAGGAATCTAAAATGGCTGAGACACACTTAAGAAAGTGCTCAATATCCCTAGCCATCAGGGAAATGCAAATCAAAACAACTCTGAGATACCATCTTACTCCTGTTAGAATGGCTAAAATAAAAAACACCAATGACAGTTTATGCTGGAGGGGATGTGGAGAAAGGAGAACACTGCTCCATTGTTGGTGGGAGTGCAAACTCGTATAGCCACTTTGGAAATCAGTATGGATATTTCTCAGGAAAATGGGAATCAGCCTACCACAAGACCCAGCAATTCCACTCTTAGGCATATATCTAAAAGATGCACATTCATACAACAAGGATGTCTGTTCCACTATGTTTATAGCAGCATTATTTGTAATAGCCAGAACCTAGAAGCAACCTAGATGCCCCTCAACTGAAGAGTGGATGGAGAAAATGTAGTACATTTACACAATGGAGTACTATTCAGTGGGAAAAAAACAATGGAATCTTGAAATCTGCAGGCAAATGGATGGCACTAGAAGAAACCATCCTGAATGAGGTAACCCAGTCACAAAAAGACAAACATGGTATGTACTCACTCATATATAGATTTTAGACATGGATCAGGGGTGTGCCAGCATACAATCCCACTGCCAGAGAGTCTGGGAAACAGAACATTCAACCAATGACTGATGGAAGCAGAGGCAGACACCCACAGCTAAGTACTGAGCTGAACTCAAGGAACTCAGTGACAGAGAGGGAGGACTGGTGAACATAGGGGTCAAGACTGGACTTGTTCAGCTCACAGAGACAACTACCTGAACAAGGGGTAGCTCTTGAACCCAAGACTGATGTCTGGGAGGCCAGCATGGGACTGATTCAGACTCCTTGAATGTGGGTGTCAGTGAGGAGGCCTAGGCAATCTATGTGGCCTTGGGTAGTAGATCAGTATTTATTGCTGGTATACAAAGGACTTTGGGTTCCCATCCCACAATTAGAGATGATCTCTCAGCCTGGACTCTTGGGGGAGGGCCTAGGCCCTGCCATGGATGAAATGACAGAATATGCACCCACCCATGGAGGGCCTCACCCTCCCTGGAGAAAGGAGTGGGGCTTGTGGGAGGGTGGATGAGGGGGTTGGTGGGAGGGTGTGGGAGGAGGGGAGGGAGAGGGAGAGGGACCTGGGATTGACATGTGAAGCAACCTTGCTTCTAGTTTAAATTTAAAAATAAAAAAAATAAATTCCTAAAAAAGAAAAAGAAAAGGAAAAGACTTCTGTAAAGCTAAGGAAAAGGAAGCCTACACAGTGGGAGAAAATATTTATCAGTTATATATCTGTTGGAGGATTAAAATGCAGAATATATAAAAACAAAGAGTCAAGAAAACAAATGACACAACTAAAAACTGAGCTGTGTATCTGAACAGAGAGTTCTCAAACAAAAAGAAATAAAAATATCTAAAATATGTTCAACATCCTTAGTAATTAGGAAAATACAAACTAAAACTGCTTTGAGATTTTGTCTTACCCTAGTCAGAATGGCTAAGACCAAGAAAACAATGTGGTAACAAATTCAGTTGAGGATGTGGAAAAGGATAACCAGCCCCCCCCCATTCACTGCTTATGGGACTGCAAATTGATATAGCCATTCTGGCAAGCAGTGTAGATGTACCATATGGCCCAACTATACCACTCCTTGGCATAAGTGCAATGGTTTCAACATCCTGCGCTACAGCAACCTGCATAGTCATGTTGATTTCTACTCCGTTTCCAGTAGCTAGGAAATGGAAACAACCTAAATGTCTTCCAGAAGATGGATAATGCAAATGTGGTACATATATACTATGGAATAATACTCATCTGTAAAGAAAAATGAAATAATGAAAGTTTTGGGCAAATGTATGGAAGTACAACATATTACACTGAGTGAAGTTACTCAGATCCGGAAAGACAAACACTGCACGTTCTCTTTTACGTTGGTACCTAGTTCTGAATCCTTAGATGTATGTGAACTTGTCTAACAACCACTGACTCTCTTCAGTGTCCCCTAATGAGCTAATAGTACACTTCGGGATGCAATAAATTAAAATAAAAATTGCTCTATATCCTTTTTCCCCAAGAAGCAGCAATCTCTGAGAATTTGATTAACATATAAAATAAAGATATTGTTTTGGGATTAGATGTTACAGCTTGTGCTTCACTACATCTCATTTCTTCTTCTCTCAAAGAGCATTGTTACACACGTGCATACCCACCACTCTTGAGTTTTTAATTCATGAAAAGCCTACTGTCCAAGAAAAGTATATACATCTTAGATGCAAATAATATGACTTGGGCACTTGACAGCAAGAACACATTTAATAGACAATTGGCCCTATTTTCTAATGATTGCTGAAAGTCTACAAAAAATAATCTAAAACCAAAGCTCTCCTTTTGTTTTTTACTCCAAGTTTTTCTAAGGATGTCTTGTACAAGGTTACCTAGGACTGGGAGTAAAGTTTGATACAGTGCTTTCCTAGAAGATGCAAGGTTTAACACTTCAAAACAAAACAAATCAATAAGCAATAAACCAAACAAACAACAAATGGAAATAAACCAAAAATCTTACTTATAATCTAGATATCTATTTTTAATTGACTTTGGAAAACATCTATGAAAGTACAGTTGTCAAGGCTACTGGCTTTTCAGATTGTTCTTTAATGTCTGGAGATGTTTATAGCTGTTTTGAAACATCTGTTAATATAGACTACGCATTTTAGAGCAAGCTCTTAAGTTAAATATCAAGTTCTCCATCAGGCATATCTTACTTAGAATGCAGACAGCATTATTTTCTAGGTAGAATAATGGTCCTTCCTGTGGAGCAAGGGGGCATAATGTTTCATTGTTCTTGCTATTTTGAATTTTAAACAAGAGTCCTTATTACACCTTAACCTGCCTGATCAATCATCTAGATTTAAACTCAATCAGCAACATAGATTGGCTGCACCCAGTTTATAAATCAGGTGTTCAATATCAGTCTCACTGCTGCTCAATAATCTGCAAAACTTGAGGTGAGATAAACAATACTGTGCAACGCATATTGGATGGGCATGCTGTTCATCCAGATCTTTGCATCCTCTGAAAATCAAACCTGGGATAACTCAAACATGAGGGCATTATAGACTTGTACTTTACAATCATTTCTAAATTTAATCAGTCAATTTTGTTGAGCTTCAGTTTCCAGGATGGAAAAATAAAGAAATTTTCCAATTCAATTCATATACAGTGAACCACTATGTCCAACCAGTAATTCTGCAGAACAGAATGAGGCATAATCTTGATTGTGAAAGACTCTGTCTATCTACATATATTTCTGAGCGTCTAAACTCTAAGACCAAATAATTCTATGTGATAAGATTAAAAATGAGGAAGCTCACAGGATCTTTTTTTTTCCTTTTTTAGTGAGAAGTTTTATTAGAAATGGATGGGAGGGGGAAGGAAAGAGAAAATGAGTAAAGAGAGAGAGGACAGAAGAGGGAGACAGGAGAAGTCCTGTCTGCCCCATGGGACAGCAGGAAAGAGAGTGGGAGAGACAGAGAGGGAAATGCTCACAGGATCTTGAAGCACAAGCTGGGACACACAGAGAGGAAAGGAGAGACTGTCTAAGAGCAACACTGAGATGTCCCTTCCGGAATGGTGGTACCACTGTCACAGGCTTAGAAGTTCAAATATGGCAAAGTACAAAATCACCTTCAAAGTGAAAAGCATCTGTCCAGATGAAGTGCACACCATATCTTGATCCACCACACAGAAACAGCTGGCTTAGTAACAGTGAAATTTACTATGTCGCAAAACAGAGAAAATGTAGGCAGAAAACATGATTTTTTGGCTGAATAATGTCATCCAGGACCTCCCCCTATTCTTTCCTTGCTCAGCCGTGCCTTCCTCAGGAGAGTACCTTGGTCACAAGGGTAAACAAAGACCTCCTGGGCATCATGACAAGACACTTAGACTCTCAAGAACATCTTTCCCAGAGTCTTCTGCTTACCCCTAAGAATAAGTGATCTTGAAGTCATTTTCAGTGATCCATGAAGATCTCCTGCCATCTCAAATCCTGGACTAGAACATGTGTCCCTTTATAAAGCAATCACTAACAAAAATCAGTCAGTCACCTCTCAGAGTAAGTTTCATCATTTGGGATGCTACCTGCCCTAGAGGATAATGTGTGTGTGTATGTGTGTGCCTGTGTGTGACTGTGTGTGTCTGTGTGTGATCTGGAATTTAGCTGGGTAACTCAGAAGCTGGGAGGTTCATTTGCCAAATTATCTGAAAGATGGATTTGCTTTCTTACTTTCAACTCAGGAAAGGCAAACATGTTGGAAAGTGATAAAATCAGGCTAGTTCCTCAAGCACTTTCAAGAAAACTTACCAAAATCTACAAGTTTTACTCCACCTTCAGTAGTCAGCAGAATGTTATTTCCTTTGATATCACGGTGGATAGTTTTGTTGCTATGCAGATGCTGAAGTCCCTGGAAGGTGGAAATTGTATAATGGTTCTTTAAAGTATAAAACAAAGAAACATTTTTCAGGTGGTACATTTGTGCAGAATCAATACAAAAATATGTTGAAATCACCATTCCAATACTAATGTTTTGCATTGAGTTAGTCAAACCCAAATGTATCAAATCCAACTTGGACTACCTAGAAAGTCACAGAAAAGAGTACACTTCTCTGCTTTCCCCAAAATTTCTCTCTAATTTTTAATACATTGTGTGTGTGTGTGTGTGTGTGCATGCACTTGTATGCATGCATGCATGAGCATGTGGAAGTCAGAGGACAACTTGTGGGAGTTAATTTTCTTCCACTATGTGTGTTCAAGGATTAAACTCAGGTCATCATATCTAGCAACAAGCACTATTACCTGCTGAGCTGTCTCTCTGGCTCTCCACTCTTAAAAAGTTGTTGATTTCAAAAAGGATATTTTAAATGAGCTTATTTAAGATAGTGGCAAACAAAAACATAACAACTAGAAAAATTTATTTTCTATCTTTATAAAAATAAAAAATACCTAAGAGCAGAAATCAGGATCTATTTACACAAAGTTGACTTCTAAATGAAAAACCCAAATTGTGCTTTTTTATTTGTTTATTTGAGACAGGGTTTTGTATTGTTTTGGAGACTGTCCTGGTTCTCGCTCTGTAGACCAGGCTGACCTCGAACTCACAGAGATCTGCCTGCCTCTGCCTCCTGAGTGCTGGGATTAAAGGTGTGTGCTACCAAATGCCTAGCTTACCTAAATGCCTGTATTTAACAATTAAGCTGCATCTGCCCCTGTATTAATCAATATTAACATAGTTATATATTTTTAAAGTAGGATCTGCATTTTTATTTAGTTAGAGCTACTTCCTAATGGTCACACAGAGAATTCAAATGGACTTACCATTAGTGCTTCATGTAAAATATATGCAATTATAGGCTCACTCATTCTTTCTCCCCTCTTCAGAAATCCTTTCACAAGATCAGTCACTGATCCCCCATTGCACAGCTGGAAACAAGCACGTCATAATGACATTAAAACAAACAGAATGTTTTAAAGTTCTTACTGTAAAAGGTTTTCTTCAAATGTTTTAACATTGTTCCAGCATCCTGTTGTAAGTGGTCTCATAAGTGACTTTTATTATCTTCATGAAATCACAAATGAAATGCATATAGAGACGTATGCTTACATATGACTGATAACTAGAACACAGGATCCATCTTACTGAATTTTTAGAAGAAAATCTTCTACTTAAATTTAACGATAAGCGTTGTGATTCTAAGTCTACAAGATCAGCAATTCAGCTCTTAGGCATATACCCAAAAGATGTACATTCATACAAAAGGAACATCTGTTCAACAATGTTCATAGCAGCATTATTTGTAATAGCCAGAACCTGGAAGCAAACTAGATGCTCCTCAACTGAAGAATGGATAGAGAAAATGTGGTACATTTATGCAATGGAGTACTACTCAGCGGAAAAAAAACAATGGAATCTTGAAATTTGTAGGCAAATGGATAGCACTAGAAGAAACCATCCTGAGTGAGGTAACCCAATCACAAAAAGACAAACATGGTATGTACTTAATCATATATGGATTTTAGATGTAGAGCAAAAGATTACCAGCCAACAATTCACACCACCATGGAAGCTAAGAAACAAGGAGGACTCTAAGAGAGACATACATGGTGCCCTGGAGAAGGGGATAGGGACAAAACCTCCTGAGCAAATTGGGAGCATGAGGGGTAGCTAAGAGGGAGCTGGGAGAAAGAGAAAGGGAGAAGAGGAGGGGAGAGGAGGACATGAGGGAGCAGGAAGGTTGAGTTGGAGGAAGAATAGAGGAGAGCAAGATAAGAGATACCATAATAGAGGAATCCATTATAGGTTTAAAGAGAAATCTGGCACTAGGGAAATGTCCAGAGATCTACAAGGATGACACCAACTAACAATCTAAGCAATAGTGGAGAGGTTACCTTAAATACTCTTTAATAATGAGATTGAAGACTACCTTATATTCCATCCTAGAGCCTTCACCCAGTAGCTGATGGAAGCAGAAGCAGAGACCCACAACTAAACACTGAAGTGAACTCCTGAAATCCAGTTGCAGAGAGGGAGGAGTGATGAGCAAAGGGGTCAAGACCAGGCTGTAGAAACCCACAGAAACAGCTGACCTGAACAAGGGGTTGCTTATGGACCCCAGACTGATAGCTGGGAAACCAGCATAGGACTGATCCAGAACCCCTGAATGTGGGTGTCAGTGAGGAGGCCTTGGCAATGAATGGGGCCTTTGGTAGTAGATCAGTGTTTATCCCTAGCATAGGAATGGACGTTGGGAGCCCATTCCACATAGAGGGATATTCTCTCAGCCTAGACACATGGGGGAGGGCCTAGGCTCTGCTTCAAATGATATGACAGACTTTGAAGATCCAACATGGAAGGCCTCACCTTCCCTGGGGAGCAGAAAGGGGATGGCATAGGGGGTTAGTGGAAGACAGGGAGGAGGGGGGGAGAGGGATCTAGGATGGACTTGTAAAACAAGCTTGTTTCTAATTTAAATAAAAATAAAAAATAAAAGATACAAAAAAGAATTGTGATTCTACAAATTTTTCCTCAATTTCCCAATTTAGGATGTGAGCCTTAAAAGCAATGCTGGCTTCTGATACTTGAATTAGTATAGTGCAATAGTGTCAATGGATATATACTACTTTAAATGTGCACTTTGAAAAGAAACAAACCTCCTTTTAGGCAAAATTGCTAATACACTGAAGTGAAGATGGCTAATAGAACCCTAGGAAACAGTTTGCAGTATTACTCTGCCTCTGCTTTCCAGCATCCTTCTCTTCACACAGGGAGAATCTGAATGGGCAAGAGGAAAGAATAGGGTGGAGAAACTTTTCATATTAGGGTTCTGCAAAATGAGGTACCATTAAGACCCACTGAAACTTTCAAAGAGGCAGACCATCTGCAATAAAGACCAACACTTATTCAACAATGGATGTGACAAGAGAGGCCATTGGGTGATTGGTCCTGGACCAAGAAAACATCACAAGGATGCTTGGATTCTGCAAGTCCTTGATCCCCTGATGCCATACACTATAGACTCTGCTTTCAGCCCTGCCCTCCTCCCAAGGGTCTTGTCTTCCTTGCCACCCACTTTTGTATCATTGGTCACTGCCTGAGAACCCACAGAGTCATCATTCTGACCCTCTAACTAATGTACAGGCAGAGGAAAGGAGTGGACGCAGATGTACCGTTAGCATTCTAGTTTGAAATATTGGATGCATTGTTCTCCAGCTAATAATGTGCTAAACACTTCTGGATTAGATAGTAGCACACAAGATGCATTCAGAATTTCCTGGATACTGGGCACATTTCTAATATATTCACATGAATTATCCATGCACCTCACCATTTTTGGAAGTAGACATCATCATCTCAGTATTAAAGATGAAGAAGTGGGATCACATTCATAATTGGTTTCTTTCTTCACTCAGATAAAACCTCCAGCTAATGCAGGATTGTGTACAGCCTAGCATGTTAAAGTCTGTGCTTTTTGTTTTTGTATCAGAAGATGAACACAGTGTAAGTGCTGTTACCCTGTACATACCATACAGGGTCAGGTTTCTTCCACCATAGGCTGGCAGATTGTCTTACAGAATTATTCTTAAGCAACTGAAAAGAAACTGAGTCCTTCAAAACGCTTGGACATTCTTTTACAGTAGTGGTTCTCAACCTTCCTAATGCCGTGACCCTTTAATACAGTTCCTCAAGCTGTGGTGACCCCAACCATAAAATTATTTTTGTTGCTACTTTATAACTGTAATTTTGGTTCTTTTATGAACCACAATTTAAATATCTGTGATTTCTGATGGTCTTAGGTGACCCCTGTGAAATAGTTGTTGGCTCACCCTCCCTAGGGTGTTGTGGCCCACTTGAGAACTGCTGCTTTACAAGGAGCAGGGCATTAGAACTACTCAGAAACCTTCTAAAAAGCAATGTTAGAGACTCCAGTTATTTCTTTCTTGTTGTAAGATGTTTTACATTCATTTGTGCTATGGAATATTTGTTTAATGATGCAAAGATGTGTTGCATTCTTTATGATGCATTTGCTTAACTCTGTAATGTTGTGTTATTTTGCCTGTCTAAAGCACCTAATTGGTCTAAGAAAGAGCTGAATGGCCAATGGCTAAGCAGGAGAAAGGATCTGTGGGGCTGTCAGGCAGAAAAAAAAGATAAATAGGAGAAGACATCTAGGGAAGGGAGCTAAGAATGAGAAAAGGAGGAGGAAAGAAGGGTGCCAGAGGCCAGTCACCCAGCCAAACAGTCAGCCATGGAGTAAGAAGGGAAGAAAGATACATAGAATAAAGAAAGATAAAAAGTCCAGAGGCAAAATGTAGTTAAAGAGAAATGGGATAATTTAAGTTAGAAAAGATGGTTAGAAACAAGCCAAACTAAGACCTGGCATTCATAAGTAAGAATAAGTCTTCATGTATTTATTTGGGAGCTGGGTTGCAGGCCCCCAAATAGTGAAAAAACCAACTATCCTTTCTTTCTTTCTCTTCTCCTCCTCTTTTTCGTCTTCTTTTGCAATGTCTAGTTTCCTCTGGGGAAGTCTATTTTGAAAAGAAATGTACACATTGTCCAGAAAGAAGAACTGTTGAGTACACCTGTGTTGAAAAAATGTCAGGACTATAAATTTGCATGGAGGCCATCTTTTTGCAAAGAAGGTTCTCAAGCACAACTACACAGAAGTGTGTGCTCAACCTCATATTAATGGCACTCCTGTTGTTAACCACTACACCATGCACAGTATGTCAAAACAGCTAATCTAACCCTTCCTCCTTGTCCCAACCTCTTTGAATAATCCTGTATTTACTCTGGTAGCTGCATTCCCATTGGGGACTCCATTGTTCTGAAATAAATATTAGCATTTGGAGAAAATCTCAGCTCATTGTTTTGTTTAGGTTGATATCTCTGTGTCAGTGAAGAAATCTGAATTCTGCCTTCTTTGATTCAGCATAGTGAATTTTAGGTTAACCCATTGCTTCTTCTTCTTTTGATTGGTACTCTATTTTTTTGTTTATAAATTTTATTTAAATTAGAAATAATTTTATTTTACATATCAATAGCAGTTCCCTCCTCCTATACTACCATGCCACCCACTGACCTCCCCATCCCATGCCCCATTCAATCCCCAGGGAGGGTGAAGCCTTCCATAAGGGATCATCAAAGTCTGTCAAATCATTTGGGGCAGGGCCTAGAACCTCCCCCATGTATCTAGGCTAAGAAAGTATTCCTCCATGGGGAATGGGCTCCCAAAAGGATAAATAATGGTTCTACTGCCCGAGCCCAACTGACACCCACATTCAGGGGCTCTGGTTTGGTCCTATGCTGGCTCACCAGCTGTCAGAATGGGATCTGTGAGCTCCCACTTGCTCAGGTTAGCTGTTTCTGTGGGTTTCTCAAGCATGGTCTTGATTCCTTTGCTTATCACTCCTCCCTCTCTACAACTGGATTTCAGGAATTCAGCTCAGTGTTTAGCTGTGGATCTTTGTTTCTGCTTTTATCAGCTACTGGGTGAAGGCTCTAGGATGACATTTAAGGTAGCCTCTCCACTATTGCTTAGATTGTTAGTTGATGTCATCAACATTTAGTGCCAGATTTCTCTTTAAACTTCTAATGGCTCCCTGTATTAAGGTAACCCTCTTCTAGATAAACACATTGCTTCTTTAAGTATTGTCTGAATGCTGATTCTCTTCTTGTTCCTCCTCCTCCTTCAATGCTGATGCATTCTATTGGATGCAGGGCTACTCTTTTTCTACTTACTAAATGGAGGATATCTGAGCTTTATCAGTTTGGAGGATTTAGTGATGTATCATTATTAGCTTGTGAATGACAACAAATGCACCCCTCTATTATAAAATGTCAGCACAGAGAAGATCTGTGTAAAGAGGTTTATCACCATGCTCTATATTTTCAGTTTAATCTTTCTGTAAACCCCAAACTA